GAAGCTATACAAGTTGAATTCCATCTGAAAAGTGAAAACTACTGTGTAGTTGATTGGTGGGGGGACCATGGAAGTTTGATGGAGATCCGATGGTTGGTGTTAAATGTTGTGGGCCCACATGTACATATACTGTCAGATTTTTAACCTTAAACAGGCAGACACCATCAACATCACCCATCATGACACGTGGACCTCATGCCATTTTGGGAAATGTCACTTTAAGGGTAAGTCACGTCCATTGGGCTATATGTCTATGCTTGATCCGCTCCTATAAGTCCTCAATCACATCCAACTCCATCAATGCTTAGTTGTCTTAAAATATTCGGTGAACGGTGGCACCACGCCTGAGACTCTGCCACAATCTAAACAAATCAGAAGTAAAACTCACGTCTTATAACAACCACTTTTTTATGTTATTTAATACTTTTTTTGGCTCTTAAATATTTTTCGTCTAAAATTTTTATACAAGAATTAAAAAAATTATTAAACAACTTTAATATGAGTAATAAATAATTACACATAAATAAAATATTTATATTCAATATGTATTAAAAAAAAATGAATATGAAAGACACTTAATCTCCACCTAATCTAATACATTGAAAAGTTAAAAGTAAATTTAAAAGAAAAAATATTAATTATATTTTGGTTTCATTAAACGACAAATATTATGAAACAAAAAAAATTATGTAAAATAATAAATATTTAAGAACGGAGGAAGTAATTATTTAATATTTAAAAATAACGATCAAATGGAATTCATGTAATTCATTTATAAATTTATGGATTAATGGTATTTTTTATTTTTAAAGTATGTATTTTTGGTTAGTTTTGTATTCAATGTATCAATTTGATTACTAAAATATTTAATTTGTATCATTTTAATCCCTGATCAGACTATTTGTCGACAAAACTGATCACGTGCCATTTTTTTTATATGATATCACGTGTCTAATACATTATTATTCTATCAAAAAATTTAACGGACAGTTTATGTAAGAACTAAAATAAGACAAATTGAATACTTTAAGAATCAAATTAAAAAAATTAATATAATAAATACTAAATTAAAAAAAAAATAAAATATATATATATATATATATATATATATTTCGGATTAAAAATAATATTAATCTTAAATTTGATCCATGTAACATCTCCGGTCAATATTTACTTCTTTTCGAAACGTCACACTCTCTTTTGTCTTAGTGACTCATTGATGGAGTTCGGCAAAAACAATCATTTCGCCATAAATAAGTGGCCCTCTCTCTCCCGTCTTTGGTTTGCATCTGCATGACTCATGATGATGCTTCTCTGTGGTTTTCTTTTAATCAGCATGCTGATTTGTGGTTTCATCTCTGGTAATGTTATACTTACGAAAATTTTATAATAAATTTTTTACATTAAATAATATGACAGATTTAACGAATGTCATTAATAATTACATGTACTGCTGAATGTTTCCTATTATTTGGTACGAGAAATTTAAGATACTAATCTGCATTGTTGAACCTTTAGGCATAATAATCTCCACCACTGAAACTGGGTTGGCTACAATGCTTTAGCTTTGTTGTCAGTCTCCTTTACTTGAATTTTCACTCCTAATACACATTCTGCACTTGTTCTTACAGTCGGTTAATTATTTAGCTNTTGGCAGCCCGAGAGAAAGACATTACTAGCTTACTTTTAACGAACCCTCTCTGCTTATTGCTTTTCTCCATATTGTATCAGTCCAAAACAAGTTACTTATAAGTCACACATGGGTGCGTCGCCTATATATAGAAATTGGCCTTCTTATTTGATGTGGTGTACCTTGTGGTGGAAGTTGAGTAAAAAGTTTAAGATAAACATGAACCTTCAGTAGGCCGGTTGCCATCTGGGAAGAAATCTGGGATAGGAATATGCTCCTAGGTATTTTGCACCACCAGTCAAGATAAATGGTTTGTTCATGCATTAATACTAAACCAAATCAAAATCTAATAATATATATGAATTCCTAACATCCATATTAGGCTGTGNACCAGAACCGGGCTTTAATTCAATCACAGGAGGAATGTTTTGGATTTTGACCTGTGATTTTGTTATGGGTTCACAGATGCTCATCCAAGTATATAGGTTTCTCATGGGCTGCTGAGCAGAGATTGGAGCATACTTTCCAACAAAAGTAATGGGAGCAAAGACGAGTCCCACGCTTTCTAAGAGATATGGGTTGGTATTTCGTAGCTATCCTGNATGTGATTTACTATGGAAGCAAGACTTTAAATGATTCACAAATAAATTATTCTACCAATAAAATTATTCATCCCAAATGAGTTTATAAAATGTTATCTCAAATGATGTGGTGAAATCCTATGCATTGAANGTTGTGCTCTCACCTCGACTTGCATTTTTCAAGTCAAACTCATTGTATATGAATGGGTCCGTGACTAAAACATGATGGATGGGTGATCTAGCAATGAAAACAATAGAAAGAAAAAGTTGTTGGTTTTTTTTAATGGAGTCTAGTTTGTATATGTGATTCGGATGATGACCCGACCCGAAGTAATGTTATGTGGTTTTTAATGGAAAATTTTCTGAAGCTTAGTCCATGGAGCGAAGGCTTGGGCCGTAGCGCCCATGGACAAGCCTCGTGGAGGTTCGGGGGCAACGCCTCCGAGGAAAATTTTTTGGGCCCGTTATACAGCCCAGTGCGTACGACATATAAACCCTATTATTTTTGTGACTAGGGTTTGTTGTGGATTGCACAGCCGCTCTCTGTAATTCAACTCTCTCAATAGTAAAATTCCTGCAGTTTCGTGGACGTAGGCAAATTGTCGAACCACGTAAAATCTGTGTCTTATTCTTTCTTGTTTCTTATTACTTTATATTCTTAATTTGTTCTTCGATTGTGTGTGTTTGTTAGTGGATTTAAATCGAGTTAAATCCCAACAAAAGTGATAGAGGAGATCTAGCCTATTAGAGTCCAACTTGTACNCCACCTAGCCATATACATTCTTTATTGTTGGCCTTGGCCTGTTTTTACTTTTTATAGCGACGCATTGCTCAATTGCCAGGATTATGCATACGAAAAAAGGAATTCATATACTACCAGAACCGGGCTTTAATTCAATCACAGGAGGAATGTTTTGGATTTTGACCTGTGACTTTGTTATGGGTTCACAGATGCTCATCCAAGTAGTGCTAATATATAGGTTTCTCATGGGCTGCTGAGCAGAGATTGGAGCATACTTTCCAACAAAAGTAATGAGAGCAAAGACGAGTCTCACGCTTTCTAAGAGATATGGGTTGGTATTTCGTAGCTATCCTCCAGCCCAGTCCTGTTTAAAGTTGTGCTCTCACCTCGACTTGCATTTTTCAAGTCAAACTCATTGTATATGAATGGGTCCGTGACTAAAACATGATGGATGGGTGATCTAGCAATGAAAACAATAGAAAGAAAAAGTTGTTGGTTTTTTTTAATGGAGTCTAGTTTGTATATGTGATTCGGATGATGACCCGACCCGAAGTAATGTTATGTGGTTTTTAATGAAAAATTTTCTGAGGCTTAGTCCATGGAGCGAAGGCTTGGGCCATAGCGGCCATGGACAAGCCTCGTGGAGGTTCGGGGGCAACGCCCCCGAGGAAAATTTTTTGGGCCCGTTATACAGCCCAGTGCGTAGGACATATAAACCCTGTTGTTTTGGTGATTAGGGTTTGTTGTGGATTGTACAGCCGCTCTCTGTAATTCAACTCTCTCAATAGTAAAATTCCTGCAGTTTCGTGGACGTAGGCAAATTGTCGAACCACGTAAAATCTGTGTCTTGTTCTTTCTTGTTTCTTATTGCTTTATATTCTTGATTTATTCTTCAATTGTGTGTGTTTGTTAGTAAATTTAAATCGAGTTAAATCCCAACAAAAGTGACAGAGGAGATCTAGCCTATTAGAGTCCAACTTGTATNTATATACGTACATTTTCATCTGATGTACATTCTGCGATAATGAAAAAAGCAAGATTGGCGAAAAAAATTAAAATCCAAGAAGAGCAAGCGAAATCACATGTAAAATACTTATAATTGAGTAATATATAAATAATTATATGTAAAAATAAGAAATGTGAAAGATACAAAAAAAAAACATTATTCTGGACCCCATTGCTAATTTTTTTATCTAATTGAGGGAGAATTGAGACCCTTGGCCTCTATTATGAAGAACTATGGATATTATAGAAAAAAACTGAGTGTAAATTGGATATATTCCTATATATTTTATTTTGAGATTTGAACACTTTTATCAAGATTTGGATAATGGAATAATTAATTTTATACAACGGGAGTCAGCTATAAAGATTCCGGCCTGTTTGTTTATGCATAGTTTCTTTCTTCCCCCTGATTCAATGATAGGAATATTTTACTTGATCTATCCTTCCCCACTTGAGCGCAGATGGATTCTGATACTTATTCTGGTTGAAATAGATTGAGGTAAGACTACAAGTTCAATGTATATAGTTTGCTAAACGCAAAATCATCCCAACACGTACCCTTTTAAGCTCATGATTACAATGAAAACCATTACCCTCAATCACCTATAAACCCAGTTTGGCAGATAAATCAAAACTTTCTTGTAGGGATTTAACGATGGATCTAAATTAGCAGCATTTTATATGTTCCCATTGAATCGATGTTATGTTATGCAAATAACACTTAATACTTCAGGACACACAGACAAACATTGCACAAAATAGGAGAGGTTGCTTATTTTGAGATACAAATTGAAGAATAGATGTAGTGCATCAGCCCATCCAATGGTGAAGATAGCCCAATTGGATTAGTAGAGCAGCATCTTCAATTTTGTGCTTAAGAGCCGAAGATGGAGCGGACAATGTGAAAGGAAATCGTGCATATTTCTCTGATAGTCCGACATCTAGAATTACAACATTCATCGTCAAGAAGTTATGAACATGCTTGATCTTGCAAAACTCAACTAATTGGATGGCAAAGGAGGTCAAGTGAAACTGTCACAAATTACTCCCACCAAAATATCAGGGTTTGATGAGATCCACTTGCAGAAGACCCATCAGGTTCATTCTGAAACATTCCCTGGAAACACAGGGTGGCATCATGGCTATTGCCAGAGTCGGTAGCAGAAACTACAGGCTTGATTTCCATTTCTTGTGTGCAAGCGTACTGATCTATACTGCTATACTGCAGGTTATGGATCAAGGACTGTGCCTGCAATTCGGGGTCAGGCTGCACCATGGGGCTCAAACCAATCTCCCTAGTTATAGCCGGTGCTGATGACAGAAGAGAGAGAGCACCATCAGAGTCAACCATTCGATTTAACCCATCACAGAACATTCTTTGGCTGCTGCAAGTGATTGCTGATGCAGAATGGGGATCAAGAAGTGATTGACAAACGGAAGCTTCAGGGAGAATGTGGTCAGTATCTTGTTGCAAGAATTGAAACTGGTTTACTCCTCTGCAGCTGTGAGCGGAAGATTCAGGAAATGGGTTGCGTCGGTCAATGCAGCTCAAGGGTGACTGTCTATTGTATAGCACTGTCTCATTCTCAGCTTTGACAGGCCCAGCCCAAGTGGAGGTTCCACCGGCACTAGGGAATATTTGTGGATTGCTGAATGACAAAAGCATTGTACCTGAGATGGAGGATATTTTGGTGCATTTCAATCAAAACATTAANGCTTGATTTCCATTTCTTGTGTGCAAGCGTACTGATCTATACTGCTATACTGCAGGTTATGGATCAAGGACTGTGCCTGCAATTCGGGGTCAGGCTGCACCATGGGGCTCAAACCAATCTCCCTAGTTATAGCCGGTGCTGATGACAGAAGAGAGAGAGCACCATCAGAGTCAACCATTCGATTTAACCCATCACAGAACATTCTTTGGCTGCTGCAAGTGATTGCTGATGCAGAATGGGGATCAAGAAGTGATTGACAAACGGAAGCTTCAGGGAGAATGTGGTCAGTATCTTGTTGCAAGAATTGAAACTGGTTTACTCCTCTGTAGCTGTGAGCGGAAGATTCAGGAAATGGGTTGCGTCGGTCAATGCAGCTCAAGGGTGACTGGCTATTGTATAGCACTGTCTCATTCTCAGCTTTGACAGGCCCAGCCCAAGTGGAGGTTCCACCGGCACTTGGGAATATTTGTGGATTGCTGAATGACAAAAGCATTGTACCTGAGATGGAGGATATTTTGGTGCATTTCAATCAAAACATTAAGTGACTCAGTTATCTACTTGAACACAACAATAGATGATGACTTATGTTGGGGGAAAAATGGCGAGGCTTGAATCACTGCCAGTAATTTGGCAAACAAACCCAGTTGATACCAATTGAATCCTTCAACTTCCACCTTTAATTTGAAACTCTAATCATAAGGAACTCAAACCTTGTTGATTAGAAACAGTCATTCCAGAATTTCTGGAAAGAGGATCAGGCTGAGGCTTCCTTCGCCGCCGGTTATGGCCATCTAAACGTTTCCTGCAGCTTCGCTTTCCCTCATCAAACTCTGCCAACGAATGAAACCTACAGAAGGGATACATCTCTACCAAAAATGTGAGGAAAAATAGATCCTAAAGGACAAAACAAACATTTGGTCACTAATCAGCTTCAGAGACAATGGGCCACACTAGTATGAAGCATACACAGAAAGATAACAATGGAATATTTTCCAATGGAGCAAGAAAACAAAATAAATGCGCCAAGAAAAGTTTCTGCACAATGGGCTTAATGAATGACACCCTTTGAAAGCAACAAGAGGGACATTATAAACCATAATGAATGCTGTCTAAAGGGCAAGAAAATAAGATTAAAGGAGCGACAAGAGTTTCTACACAATGGACGCATTGAATGACACCCTGTGAAAGCAACAGGTCAGACTTTATATAGATTCAGCAGTTGGAGGGAAATACAGAACTTAAGCACTCTTTAATCTTTAGAAACTCTTATGTGTTATGAATGCTATGGGAGCTCAATGTATTATCTCCTCACAGATTATTCATAAGAAAACAAAAAACACAAACAAAAGCAAAACTAGGAGAAATCCACATGAAGGCAGGAAATAAAGAATTGTAGTTCAATATTACGGCCAACTGGATTGAAAACATATTCATCAATGGTGAAGTAAGTCAATTCAACTGAGGCATGTCATGTCAGATAGCTACAAAGGCAGCACAGGAAGAGTAAAAATAAACAATTTTTGTTTGGTTTAGGCATTGAATAAGATGCATCCAATGTTTGCCACTATTAATATTCAGAATCCAATGAAAGCTATAGAAAATACCTGATTACTTCAAAGACAATGCAACAAATGAAGGGATTATTCATTTTAAACTGGAAGTCGTAATGGCCAATTACAATAATTTTTAGGGAATATGACTAAGCATTGTCTAACAACAACTCAGCAACAAAATTATGCCACATTATGCAATTGGGAGACCCAACCCAAAACTTCAGCGTCAATTACACAGCTATCATCAACATGGAAAGGAAGTTGCTTCAAATATGGTAATGTTTATATTTCAAAAGCCAAACAACCATTATTCAGGTGGCTTGGAAATATAGGCACCATTATACACCACTAAGCCACAAGGAACAGATGAAACAGAAATGAACTGTAATATAGAAAGTTATCAAAGAAAATATGGTGGATCACAATGTGAAAGAATTCTAATAGTACCTGCTGCATTGTTGACAAAACCGTTGCTCTCTACCACCAATTGTAACCTTAGGGGACTTAGCATGGAACTCGCACACTTTATGCCGTCTGTGATACTCACGGCACTGATTAAGGTCTGCGTTGCACCCATCAACCAAGCAACGAACAACTTGGGTGACATTACTCGGTGCCTTGGCTCTCTTCGATGATCCAGAAAATGATGACTCCATCAGAGAGACCTTCAGTTCCTTAATCTCTAGCTCTATGTCACCAATTGAGCCCCTTTATACCGGAACAAAACTGTCAATTAAAGTAATGTTCAGTGGGCCTTCTTTTTCCAATTCAGCAAAATTCTGAAAAATTGTCTTCAACGAAAGCTCATAAACTTCTGCCTTACACACACAGTCAAGTTCTTGTCAAACTCATTCACCTTGGCATCTCTCAAAGAAGTTCTTTCCAGACTCATCACCTAGGTCTACATCATTCACAGTCATACATAAGACCGATAAAGGACTGCTATGTAAGTTGAAGTTTAGTGTGAACTATTCAAGAACAAAACCTGCCAGTATGAGAATACAGTGCCTAGCTTAGTGATCAGACACTTGAGATGCTGAAATGGAACACACACACACAGCTCCCAAACCAAATGCAGCCTGAATAATTCGATATTTCCTGAAGAAACTGAATCCGAAACTCTCCCCTCCGCTACCCCCAACATAGAAAGTGAAGTACTTGCGGAACAGAGAGTTTGTTCATCCTCGAAAGACCTGCCTTTTAAAAAGGTTAAACCTAAACTTAACTTCTTCAAAATAATTTGGGATTCTTCACCATCACCCCCGACCTACCCCCCCACTCCCCTCTCCCTCTCTCTGACATTCATGTTAAGATATTTGGTGAGTAGTAAACAGAATTCCTAAAAGATTTTTACTCAATAAGAAATGAAGCACCTTAATTTCTACAGTTATTACCCACATAAAAAGGGTCAAAGTTTTCTTTTATATAATCATCTAATTTGCAACAATTTGAGGAATCACTGAATAACCCAATTCAGAAATCTAAAATAATAATGCAATGATGAGCCATTATACCCATCGTTTCCAAATACTAAAGCAGAAAAAGTAGGTTAGAAAAAGCTGAATCTTAAAAAGATGCGTACTGAATATACCTCGAAAAATTAAGCAATTAATTTGACAAAATGCTTAACTATGGCAAACAAACTCAGGCCGTCAGATTGCCGAGTAACCTCTAAGAATGGTTGAGGAATGAGCATTGTAACAAGAAGGTCGTATACGTAACATGATATATATAAATAGGAAAGCAATTAAAAAACAGTGAGATACTTAAAGACAAGTGCAAGAGAAGAAGACTGACTTGGTCTTCTCAGCCATTCATTCTCTGACAACAACTCTATTATGGATCAGTAAAGTGGCAACTGGCAAAAAGATGGAGAATATTGTTTGTGTTGTGTGTGTGTGTGTGTGTGAGAGAGAGAGAGAGAGAGAGAAGACGGGTTAAAAAAAGGTTATCGTAGGGGTGTAGGTGAAGAACTCGGCCAAAAAATAAGCGTATAGATTAAAAAGATATGCACTGACAGAGCAAAAGAGACATTACTGTGTTTATGTGGAATTATTGGAAGGAGCAATATATGAACAGAGGTTACCATATACGTAACCTCTGCTTGTCCTGAAGAGGGTATCTCTCCTTCTTTTGTAGGGTAGTAGCCCTTGCTATAACTGATTAAAAAAAAAAACAGNTCTAGCTCTATGTCACCAATTGAGCCCCTTTATACCGGAACAAAACTGTCAATTAAAGTAATGTTCAGTGGGCCTTCTTTCTCCAATTCAGCAAAATTCTGAAAAATTGTCTTCAACGAAAGCTCATTAACTTCTGCCTTACACACACAGTCAAGTTCTTGTCAAACTCATTCACCTTGGCATCTCTCAAAAAAGTTCTTTCCAGACTCATCACCTAGGTCTACATCATTCACAGTCATACATAAGACCGATAAAGGACTGCTATGTAAGTTGAAGTTTAGTGTGAACTATTCAAGAACAAAACCTGCCAGTATGAGAATACAGTGCCTAGCTTAGTGATCAGACACTTGAGATGCTGAAATGGAACATACACACACAGCTCCCAAACCAAATGCAGCCTGAATAATTCGATATTTCCTGAAGAAACTGAATCCGAAACTCTCCCCTCCGCTACCCCCAACATAGAAAGTGAAGTACTTGCGGAACAGAGAGTTTGTTCATCCTCGAAAGACCTGCCTTTTAAAAAGGTTAAACCTAAACTTAACTTCTTCAAAATAATTTGGGATTCTTCACCATCACCCCCGACCTACCCCCCACTCCCNACAAGAATTTTACACCAAAAAAACTATCAAATTTGTTGGCAGGACATCATCATAGGTATATACATTAGAACCCTTCAAAATATAAATAGTCTAAGGGTTGAGCCTCAAATACGTATCTATAATTGAACACAACACCACTATAGCATTTGTTTTTTTTCTTCCAAACAAGCTATCTCAAATATCGAAGCAAATACATCATAAGATCCTTTGACCCCTCTTCCTAACACTCTTTGTTGTCATCTTAGATCATCATGTCACCATTATTTTATGACTGTTTTATATTATGTATAAATGTACTAGTACGTAGTTAGTTCCTTACTTTGAAAACATAATTACTAAGGACAAGATTAGTGATAACCATAAGTATGTATCTACCATGCAAACAAGTATACACAGTTCCACTTTCCACTAGATTTTAGAGCAACTCCGACGATATTAGTTATAATAGTTAGTTAAAATATATTTTTTTATTATATTATCTATTTTAAAGAGTAATTTCTATTAATTCACTTTAACAACACTCTCTATTTTAACTCTCTATTTTAACTGATTATTTCAACTAATTTTAACTAACTATTAATAATAAAAATGTAAAATAATACGTAGCATGTCACGTCATTGCCAATTGGAGAAATTCACAAATCCACAAATTCTAATGATGTAGGAATAACTCATAAATTTTAGAAATTTCAAATTACTTCGAGAAAGAGAGACAATTCGGGGTTTTAGGTTTGATTTTCAGTATTATTTTTGGTGCAGGTGCAGTTGCAGTGGGATTTCAGTGGGTTTTTGGTGCAGTTGCAGTGGGGTTTCAATGGGTTTTTGGTCTATTTTTTTGTACAGTTGCAATGGGGTTTCAATGGGATTTTCAGTCTAATTTTAGAGGGGTTTTTGTGGAGTTTCAGTGGGAGGAGAGAGAGAGAGAGAGAGAGAGATGTCCATACCTGTTTCTTGAAAAAAGACGCCACAATCAGCTAGGAGCGGAGCTAAAAATCTTCTCTAGTGGGGCAACAACAGTCAAAATTTTAAATGGTCATAAAAATATATTTTTGTTAATAGAAGTCAATTAAATGTACAACTCATATACATGAGTGATGTAAAAAAAGAGCCAATAAAAAAAAACTCACTATAAATTTATATATAAGACTTAACAAAAAAAATTAAAACAAAAAAATTGAGCTCAATCATATATTGAGTCTATAATGAGAAAATCCAAATTGTTGAACATCCTATAAATATTCATAGTTGCTCTTAACGTGTTTTTATATTTTGAAAGCGTTATATGATAATTTAATTCTCAATGATACTTAAAATTACTTTCTCGACATTTGTAACCAAACAATTGTTCATCTATTGACCTCTCATTCGATTGCACAATAAATTTTTAAAAAATTAATTGTTCAGTCACAAACTTAATATTCATCAGTGAATTTAACAAACAATAGAAATTAACTTAAACTACGACTATTCTATTAAACTAAACCTAAGTATAAGAATTACTTAACCTATCACAATAAAACTATTCAAACCACCAAATCAAAACAATTTAATCTAACATATAATGGAGGACTACACGCCCTAATTCCAATTCAACGTATAAGAAAAAAACAAAAGAGAGGGCTACAAGCCCCAATTCCAATTCAACATAAAAATAAAACATAAGAGAGAATTACAAACTCAAATATCAATTAAATATATAAAAAAATAAACTATAAAAGATGACTACAAGTCTCAATTTCAACATATAAAAAAAAATAGAGGAATAAAAACCCCAATTTTAATTCAATACATAAAACAATAAATCACAAAAAGAACTATAAGTCCCATAACTTTTTACTGGGGGTATATGTCTAATAAATNGCCTCTTGTGTATATTCATTCTTTTCCCTTGATGAATCTTATATTTTTTTTTATTGATAAATCTCAGTGGAAGGACACGTGGATCAATGTGGGACCCACCCTCACACATATCATCTTCGAGCAACCCGAGAGTTTGAGGGTAAAACTTGCTCATCAAAGGCCTGGGAACGCCCGGGGGACGACAGGTTTTCGACCCCAATGAAGTCAGCTTTCCCCCGCTACTCTTGGGACTAGTTAATGTTATAGTCAAATCAACTTTAATCAAGTGACACCCAAGCAACGCTATCATTTGGTTCTTGATCTCGAACATAGTTATCATTTGTAAATTTAACCCTCGTCAACTATAAATTATATACATGTGTATTAAATGTGCAACACGAAGCCACCCAAGACAGGATACGAACACTTTTTAATGAAATAACCATTGATATAATTGTCTTGTTATACACGTGCTCTAACAAGAATTTTACACCAAAAAAACTATCAAATTTGTTGGCAGGACATCATCATAGGTATATACATTAGAACCCTTCAAAATATAAATAGTCTAAGGGTTGAGCCTCAAATACGTATCTATAATTGAACACAACACCACTATAGCATTTGTTTTTTTTCTTCCAAACAAGCTATCTCAAATATCGAAGCAAATACATCATAAGATCCTTTGACCCCTCTTCCTAACACTCTTTGTTGTCATCTTAGATCATCATGTCACCATTATTTTATGACTGTTTTATATTATGTATAAATGTACTAGTACGTAGTTAGTTCCTTACTTTGAAAACATAATTACTAAGGACAAGATTAGTGATAACCATAAGTATGTATCTACCATGCAAACAAGTATACACAGTTCCACTTTCCACTAGATTTTAGAGCAACTCCGACGATATTAGTTATAATAGTTAGTTAAAATATATTTTTTTATTATATTATCTATTTTAAAGAGTAATTTCTATTAATTCACTTTAACAACACTCTCTATTTTAACTCTCTATTTTAACTGATTATTTCAACTAATTTTAACTAACTATTAATAATAAAAATGTAAAATAATACGTAACATGTCACGTCATTGCCAATTGGAGAAATTCACAAATCCACAAATTCTAATGATGTAGGAATAACTCATAAATTTTAGAAATTTCAAATTACTTCGAGAAAGAGAGACAATTCGGGGTTTTAGGTTTGATTTTCAGTATTATTTTTGGTGCAGGTGCAGTTGCAGTGGGATTTCAGTGGGTTTTTGGTGCAGTTGCAGTGGGGTTTCAATGGGTTTTTGGTCTATTTTTTTGTACAGTTGCAATGGGGTTTCAATGGGATTTTCAGTCTAATTTTAGAGGGGTTTTTGTGGAGTTTCAGTGGGAGGAGAGAGAGAGAGAGAGAGAGAGATGTCCATACCTGTTTCTTGAAAAAAGACGCCACAATCAGCTAGGAGCGGAGCTAAAAATCTTCTCTAGTGGGGCAACAACAGTCAAAATTTTAAATGGTCATAAAAATATATTTTTGTTAATAGAAGTCAATTAAATGTACAACTCATATACATGAGTGATGTAAAAAAAGAGCCAATAAAAAAAAACTCACTATAAATTTATATATAAGACTTAACAAAAAAAATTAAAACAAAAAAATTGAGCTCAATCATATATTGAGTCTATAATGAGAAAATCCAAATTGTTGAACATCCTATAAATATTCATAGTTGCTCTTAACGTGTTTTTATATTTTGAAAGCGTTATATGATAATTTAATTCTCAATGATACTTAAAATTACTTTCTCGACATTTGTAACCAAACAATTGTTCATCTATTGACCTCTCATTCGATTGCACAATAAATTTTTAAAAAATTAATTGTTCAGTCACAAACTTAATATTCATCAGTGAATTTAACAAACAATAGAAATTAACTTAAACTACGACTATTCTATTAAACTAAACCTAAGTATAAGAATTACTTAACCTATCACAATAAAACTATTCAAACCACCAAATCAAAACAATTTAATCTAACATATAATGGAGGACTACACGCCCTAATTCCAATTCAACGTATAAGAAAAAAACAAAAGAGAGGGCTACAAGCCCCAATTCCAATTCAACATAAAAATAAAACATAAGAGAGAATTACAAACTCAAATATCAATTAAATATATAAAAAAATAAACTATAAAAGATGACTACAAGTCTCAATTTCAACATATAAAAAAAAATAGAGGAATAAAAACCCCAATTTTAATTCAATACATAAAACAATAAATCACAAAAAGAACTATAA